GATTGGTGGTTCGCTCAAGTAACACCACGTTTATAACTTGGGCCTAAATTAAGGTGCAACTTTGAACCAAACAATTTATAATACCCGGATAAGAACATAAAATAATACTGTAAACGCTGGTACTTGACATTGATTCTACACTTCATGTGTATAGACTTTCATTTAAAATGCCAGACAGAATATTACTTTAGAACTATTTATGTCAACAGAGAAAGATATGTTATGAGGTGCATTTCAGTTTTCCCCGAGTACAAGTAAACCCTATTCTTTTTCAAATATGTCCGTATTTTCTGCGTGTTTTGCAAAATTAATAAGAATTGATTAGAAAAAATGCCAAACACCGGATATTGAAAACTTTAAATTTGTTTGAAAAACGTCGTACTCAGTTGAACTAAACAATAGATACTTTCTTTTATGAATTAAAGAGAATGTATATATCCCCCGACCGTGAATCAGCCACTTTAGAAAGACATTCCCAGCCAACATTCTATATCGGCCCGACATCAAACCTATATGGTTTTCTATAACGGCCCGACATCGGATTAAATCTCGGCTGCAAATAGGAATGATGTCGGCCCGACATCGGTAGTACAATATCGGGCAGATGTCTTAACAATATCGGCCCGATATTTCTTGCCTACATCGGGCCAACATCAAATCAACATCGGCCCAATATTTGTTGCCTTCATCGGGCCAACATCAAATCAACATCGGCCCAATATTTCTTGCCTACATTGGGCCAACATCAACCTGATATTTCTTGCCTACATCGGGCAAACATCAAAACAATAGCGGTGCGATGTCAGCCAACAGAAGATATCAGCCCTACATTGACCACGTATGATCCTTAGGCTAGCCTGTTGATTCTGACAAGCAACAGGCATTTGGCATAGCCTGCAATTTAAACATTTCTTGTTGTTAACTTCCTTAAAGGAGAAACAAAATCACAACAAATGAACTAAATTCAATAATCAATTTTAATAATTCTAAACAATGACAAAATTTGATCACATTATTATCATTTAAAGCACATTGGTTGAAAGACAACTTTGATATAAGAAAAATGTATGTTTTATTGAGATATCAACAGTTTTAATTTGAAAATTAAGGGCATGGAAATGACAAAATTTGATTTTTAAGTGTTTAAAGCAATGTATTTTAAGTACTTTGAATGCAATGAATCTTTGTTTATATTCTGATTATAACAGATACAGAATACCTAAAATGAAAGAAGTTTGTATACCTATTTGTTGGCATCAATCAAAAGAAACATGCCCCAAAACAAAGGTTAAAGACAATAGAGATGCTTTAAAGATCTTATCAATTAATCTTTTTTTTCCTTTCAAAATTGGAGAGAAATAGCAATTTATACATATATTACCTTAAGACTAGAGTAACAATATATATACATGTTTACAAATAATGAAAAGAACTGTTTATTTGAAAAATTATGAAATCATAAAATAATTAACAAGGAACACAAACAAGAGCTGTCAGTAGGACAGCAACGCTCGACTATTCTAGTGCTTGATAGTAGAAATAATGCTTGATAGAGTTACCTACTCCTGTTTACAGGTTGGTGTCATGATGGTGAACAAGTATGCAAAGTTTCAAAGCCATCTGTCAATGGACTTTGAAAATATTTGAGGTATTACAAAAAGCTTTAAAGTAAATTCTAAGTCGAAAAAGGGGCATTATTCTGTCAAAATGCTTGATACAGTTACCTCCTCCAGTCTACAGGTAGGGGTCATGATGGTGAACAAGTGTGCAAAGTTTCAAAGCCATATGTCAATGGACTTTGAAAATATTAGAGGTATTACAGAAACTTTAACATAAATTCTAAGTTGAAAAAGGGGCATAATTCTGTCTTAATGCTTGACAGAGTTACCTCCTCCTGTCTTCAGGTTGGGGTCATGATGGTGAACAAGTGTGCAAAGTTTCAAAGCCATATGTCAATGGACTTTGAAAATATTTGAACTATTACAAAAACTTTAACGTAAATTCTAAGTCGAAAAAGGGGCATAATTCTGTCAAAATGCTTGATACAGTTACCTCCTCCAGTCTACAGGTAGGGGTCATGATGGTGAACAAGTGTGCAAAGTTTCAAAGCCATATGTCAATGGACTTTGAAAATATTAGAGGTATTACAAAAACTTTAACATAAATTCTAAGTTGAAAAAGGGGCATAATTCTGTCATAATGCTTGACAGAGTTACCTCCTCCTGTCTACAGGTTGGGGTCATGATGGTGAACAAGTGTGCAAAGTTTCAAAGCCATATGTCAATGGACTTTGAAAATATTTGAACTATTACAAAAACTTTAACATAAGTGGCTACGCCGACGCGAACGCCGACGCTCGGGTGACTACAATAGCTCTACTTATTCTTATCGAATAGTCGAGCTAAAAAACAGTAAAATATAACTGACTTATTTAAACGAATTGGACAACAAACATGACTAAAATAAAACAAAATTGTTAATGAATATAAACAACCTCAACAAACAGCTAACATTAAAAAAAGATATGTCGTGCAAATATATAATTCAATTATGCAGATTTTACAAATATTTATATCCGTAAGATAAAAATACATCAATATGAACTTGTGATGAGACTATTTATGTAAGAGTGTAATTTCCAAGCAAGATGGTAAAATACTGAATTTAAAAACTTGAAAAATAAATATCTTCAAACCTTACAATTAATTTATGGTTGGTATTTAATTTATATCTGGAGAAACATTGAATGTAAAAACCAATGACTTTCAAATTGAATAATAATGAGTTTAATTGGCACAAAGAATAACATATAATAAATTTGGCACAAGACTGATGTAAAACATATTAAAGGAACTCCACTGAGGTTAAAAAGCCTAAAACATAGCATTTTAATATTTCACATAGATAAACATGAGCACTTTAAACAGAAATATTAATAAAATATAACCAAGAAATACATTGAAAGTCATATGTTTGTGCTATTCTCAGTCCGATTTGAGTGAAAAGCGTTTAAACGCTTTTCAATTTTGGGTCATTTTTCACTATCATAATAATTATTCTGGAAAACGGAGCGAGCTAATAATCTGATATTTTGCACATAAGTTATTAGACTAAGTATAGATCTACATCAAATGGAGTAATAATCTCAAAAAATTATTTCCAGTCCCGTCATGTTAAAAAACCTCAGTGGAGTCCCTTTAAATCATCAACAAAATAAAATATATAGAGAGTGTCAAACAAGTTAATCATTGTAAAATTTAATACTGGTTGGCATTTTAAGCAATAAAAAACATGGTAATAATTATTACATTATGAAAACAAATGCATAAATATTTGACTCAAATGAAAAACAAGCTGGAACAAAAAAGCTATATAGTTACTTGATGCAAAATAACTATTTGTGTGTGTGTCCAAGTACAAAAATAAAGTTTAAATACAGAACCTCTCGTCTTTTATTACATAAACCGCGGCACAGGAGTGTAATAAAGCCATTTAATAAAACCGATATTACACTAGTGTAATAACAATTTTATGGGACACATTTGCACTATCTATAAACATTGCGTTAAAGCAACAGTAAACTAGAGCAGTCATCGATAGAGACAATATCGATGTATCATTGATATTTTTCTGTCGAACAATAATCAATACAAAATTGAAAAAAATTGATTGTTTAAAGGTCTATAAAAAATGAAAATTCACTAAAAAGATACACAAAAGCAGATGGCCGTGTCTAACACTAAGTTGTCGCTCCATAATGGACACATTTCATAGCAGTTATGACAAAATATAATCAGAAACAAGAGCTGTCGGTAGGACAGCAACGCTCGACTATTCTTAGTGTTTGATAGTAAAAAAATGCTTGATACAGTTACCTCCTCCTGTTTACAGGTTGGGGTCATGATGGTGAACAAGTGGGCAAAGTTTCATATGTCAATGGACTTTGAAAATATTTGAACGATTACAAAAACTTTAACGTAAATTCTAAGTCGAAAAAGGGGCATTATTCTGTCAAAATGCTTGATAGAGTTACCACCTCCTGTCTACAGGTTGGGGTCATGATGTTGAACAAGTGTGCAAAGTTTCAAAGCCATATGTCAATGGACTTTGAAAATATTTGAACTATTACAAAAACTTTAACGTAAATTCTAAGTCGAAAAAGGGGCATAATTCTGTCAAAATGCTTGATAGAGTTACCTCCTCCTGTCTACAGGTTGGGGTCATGATGGTGAACAAGTGTGCAAAGTTTCAAAGCCATATGTCAATGGACTTTGAAAATATTTGAACTATTACAAAAACTTTAACATAAGTGGTTACGCCGACGCTCGGGTGACTGCAATAGCTCTACTTATTCTTATCGAATAGTCGAGCTAAAAAATCATGCAAAGGTACACAACCTATCTATTTTACTAAAATCATTTAAACAGGTATGAAAAAGTAATATATACAAGAAAATAAGAGTATTTTTAGATATATTGGTGTAATGCCAATATTTAGTCAGCCGATATCAATGTATCGTCAATATGCTTTGCACTGAATCTATGACAGCACTACAATAAACTTTTCTTTTTTTGAATATGTGATAAATAGAATATTATATTTTTGTAGATTCAATACTTAATTTATTGAACTCGTTGAATAAAACAATATTATGCTCGCATAATGATTTTATTCAACTTGTTCAATAAATTTAGTATAAAACCTACTCATTCTACATCCTCTATATTTCAAGGAAACATACTTTGAAATAAAATTTACATCTACTTCTGTCAGTGCAAGGGACCCACAATATTTCATGATACTAACATTTTTTAAATCAATGATTTTTTTCCACATGCTTTATCAAAGCTTTCACATTGGTGATTTACAGAAAAGAGAGAAAAATAAATGGTGCATAACTAGTAAAACAGTATTTAAATGCTAATGAATGTTCTCATGTTTTATCAAGTCCATGTAAGTAATAATTATGTATCTTTTTTTGGAGGACAGTTTTGAAAATCTCAGTTTTCTAAATTTTCACTTGAGGTATTTGTGGCTGCTTTTCTATTTTTACGACCTCCCTCACGGTCTTTGGCTGTCCTCAACCATTCTCTAGTTATAAATTCGACCTCTGCTGTGGTTGTTCCTGGTATGGTCTTCTGCACTGCCTCTGTAAATTACATAAAAAACGCAATGTTCATTTGACTTTTTTACAGTGATATTCTCTGTACGTCTTGTTTAAATTTTTGCAAGTTAAGGAAATTATTTGAATAAGTATACCTGCTCTTCATTGTTATGACAACTGAAATGTACATACCTTCAAAACGTTTGAGTAACAAATAATGGGCTTTATACTTTAATAGATTTTGAATTTCTGAATAAATAACAAACATAAAAGTTTGTCTGCTTTTTTTTTCATTTTAATTGATAGATTACTCAGAAAGCCAATCTAAAACAAGATTAATCAGAAAACCAATCCAAAACAGTACATTAATGCAAAAAAAATGCAAAAAAACTTTATGACTTACTACAAATCACTTCCGCTATTTTCAACGATCCAAATTTAAGCTGTCCTTTCTTTCCGTACCAGTTGTAACTCTCTGCCAAACGGCTTTTGATTACATGGCTCAGAATTCGCCTGACCATATCTGGTGTGTTTTTCCCGCCAATCAAAGACAGGTAGTTGATCTGAAATGTTAAGTGTCATTAAGGCTTAACACTAAAACAGTATTTAAACATAACAAAATTTCAATTTTTGAAAAGAACTATAATGAAAATAACTATGAATATGAAGAAATAATTTTTTAAAAAACAAATCTCATTATCTGTTTTTATAGTACATGTATTTAATGGTTTTTACTGTATGCTTCAGCTTTTACAGCTAAAATCACATGTTTTAAAATTTACAAAAAAAGAACAAAATTCGATAAATTTATCATTGTATAATGAATTGGCCAAAAACAAGCATTTGCTTTCAGAGGCACTTATTAAAGGGCATTGAGACAGTACATGTATATATACTGATAGACAAAAAATACACTTGTAGAGACAGGTTTTCTTACCATGTTGTTGAGAACAGTCTGTTGTCTCAACTCTTTTTCTAACCCTTCAACATCCTCCAAAGATTGGAGGGGAAGGGTAATACCTTCAGGCAGACTGAAGGTACTGGAGCTGCTCGCTTTTGACGCTCCTAGCTCCTGTACCATTATCTAGAAGAGTTTCAAGCATTCTGCGTTGCTGGTTTTGTTCGATTCTGATTTTTTCGATACTAGTGAACACTTCTCTTGAGAAGCGAACATGATCTCTATCTAAAATTTGGCAAGAAAAAATATGTTATTACACAAAATCAGGAAAAAAATCACAGTAATGTCATGGTTCTCAAGGCTAAATGTTCATCCTTAAGAAAGATGACAAGTCCTAGCTTGATATAAACAACATTAAATTTTTACGCAATTAATCTTATATTAGCACCCATTGTTTTTTAAGAAATTACCCTGACCTTTTTTTTTTGGAGCAAATTATGAAGAGAAGTCAACCTCAATTACATAAATGCAAAGCTAATTATCAACAAAATACAAAAAAAGGTATGTATAACTAAAAAGGCCAAAACATACTTGCATCTGGAGCTGCTGTTTCTTGCGTCTTTGAGCCAACTTTCACATTTGGAGTGGTTGCCAATGGGATACGTGGTGGTGGTTTAGGAAGAGATGGCGATTTTGTTGAAGGCAGTGGTGATGAGATGGAAGACAGTGGTGATGAGATGGAAGACGGTGGTGAGATGGAAGACGGTGGTGATGATGAAGAAACTGTCAAAGGCATTGATTGAACTTCTTCCTGAGACCCTTCCTCTGTTATCTTACTGCGTGAAACAGCAGTAAAATCATGCCTGTCCTCATCTTCATCAGATGAAGAAAATACTGTTTTTCTAAAATAGTTAAAAACATAACCCCTGTATTAATTTAACATAATAATGCTCTAATCAAGGGACAATATTCAATATTTAATTATTTTCATGTTACGCAGCTTCTTTCGTACCTTATCATATGATTCTACAACAGCAATAATTTAAATATATTAACTTAAGTAGTTTAAGCCAATTTTGACCACAATGTGATATTAACAATGTAATTCAATCAATATTTATAAGCATGACAAAGAAAGTGTAATTTTACATTTTTTAAGACAAGCCTGATTCAATTGAAATTTTCTTTTAAAATTACATGTATTCAGTATTTGCAATAATCCTTACTTACACAAAAGGATATATTTCTTTAAGAGTTAAATACAAACATACAAATCTGGTTGAAAGTAAATCAAAATAATCAAATTAACACAATTTACCATGTTCGTACAATTCACGGATTGGGAAGGATTGCCAATCATCCTGCGGCTCCATCTTCTTCATTGCAGCTTTAGTAATTTTAGAAGATACCTTCCAGCTTGGCCATAAAGCACATGTTGTTCCATCACGCCATTTGTCCGGAATTACAGCTTAACATTTTTCATCAGTGAATTCAACTATCATGTAGTAACACAAACATTCCAACAAACTTTCAAAAGAAAGTGATGAAAATGTACAAATATTTTACAATATAAATCTTTATTGCTTAGACAAATGGATTCACATTTGCAGATTTTTTTTATACATATACAGGGCTGTGATTTTCTTAAACTATAGAATATTAAAATGTCAGCACATATCTACCTATTTCATGACACGGTTTTGTTTGCTAATATCTTAACTTTTACAACAATTTTTAATGATTGTACATGTACATACTTTCCCTTTCCAGAAAGAGACCTAACGAAACATATAAATTAGGTCAAACATAACTACATTCTGAATTGCTAAAATTTCTCTTAAGGTTTTTTTCCACAGCGTTTTTCCCCCGTAAATAACTGATACCTGCAAACGGCACCCTTCCCAATAGAAAATAAACAGCAAATATCCTGAATCATGACTGGTAAACTCCCTAAATAAAACTGAAATTTACCACAAAAATTGGCAGAATTCAAGGTAAAAAAAACAGTAATGGATGCCTCCATATTTATTAGTGATTTACAATAAAAACCAAGTATAACCACATGAGTAATATTCGTACCCAATTCATTTCGTACTTTCAACATCATTTATATAAAATTTTATCAATTTTTTTTTTTCAACCTTAAGAAATCATACATGGTTTAAGAGTGTATATTTTACTTAGATTAATGAATATTTTGCATCTTTTGTAAAATTCCCAATTTGAGTAAAACCCATGTCAAGTACTGGCACTATTCCAAATGCAGGGAAAATAAACCACTGTTCCATATACGGTTGTTTGTTATACTCCTACGGATGCGAAAGGGGCCGAATATCTCAAATAAAAAATACTGTAAAACCATGTTGTAAAATGCACAGGAGATTCCATAGAAATTTTTTATATCTTTTACTTTAGGATATTTTTGCATTTTTGGCATAAGGAAAAAACCTTTAATCAGTTGTAAAATATAAGGAAAAAACATCAACTTGTTTAGATTCTTACAAAACACATAAAAGGCCTCCAAAATGCCTTTATTTCTCATAATCATTTTAATTTTGGTGTATTTATAGTATCCAAAAAGTTACTCTTTGGCCAATTACTGGAACCATCTTTTTCATCTGTTGCTTTTTGGAAATAAGAAAACTTACAGTGACTAAGTATTCCAGTAGAAGGGAAAGCATGTACATGCACATTAATAAAACTGTGAAAGTGAAAATTAACAGCAAGTATGCAAAACACAAACATATTTTTTCTTACAAAATAAGATTATAAAAGCGAATATTTAGTACATTCTAACTTTGATGTGCAAATTATAAATTATCACTGCCCTGTTAATGCATGTCGCGAAAATATGTAACAAATATTTTCAACCTTGATTATACATTAAAATCAGACAAAAAAATAAATGGTATATTTTTCCAATCACTTAAAGTGTAAAAATCAATTAATTAACAATGTTTACACATTTGATAAATTAAATCATTACTTTAAAATATATATAATTTCATCACCCTTCTTTGATTTTGCTTTTTGGCGCATTTGTTCTGTTGAAAAGTAGAAATGCAGTGAATATTTTGCCAGATTTGCATTTAAATTATAATTGAAGAGTGATTTTTATGTGCTTAGAAAATAAATATTGAATTCAATTACAAGCAACATATCATTTTAAAACTCAGCTAAAATTATTTTATAAATTCATATCAAAATGTACAATTATTTGCTGCATGGTAATCAAGGGAGGGAATAAACCTAACAGAATTCCCTCCCTTGTCTACTACAAAAAAAACGGACAGTAAGACAGTATGTAAATATAATAAGTAAAGAACAACAGTGTTTCATTGGAATTAATTTATTTCATAATATTTCAACGATTTAACAAAATATGGATGTGTGACAGAAAACGCAATATCGTACCGATGTCAATCCGATATACAAAATAGTTGCATTTATTTATCATGTAGGCCCGACGCAGACCCGATGTCCTTTTTTTGATGTAACATGAAATGTGGTTAATGTGGTTCTAGTAATTGAAATCATGCACAGGACTATTTATTAACATAATTAAGTAAACAATACCATTGCATTTAGAATTTTTCAAAATATTGAGCATGTCGGCACTGCAGCGGTCCGACGTCGGCCCCAAATCGGCACACTTTGCCGACATGCCGACATTAACCGTATATCGGCCCGATATAGTCGTGCTGGCTGGGTTATGATAGCCACTAACCGCAAGTTATATAGCTTTATAGTAACTCTTACACAAGAAGAAAGTATACTTATGTAAAATTGGATTGTACACAAGGGTCCAGATGTAAGGGAGAAGTATAACATAAAATAAAAATAACAATAGTCAGATTGTTTCAACACTTCGAGGCCGTCTACATAGCCTTTAAAGACAAGAGGCCTATATTTTTAAAGGAGGTTTGTCAAAGAGAGGTCTTTATTTACAGTGTGGTCTTGACTCAGAAGTGGTCTTTAACACAGGTTTGACTGTAGCTCTTAGAAGGTTCAATCGGTGATTTGTATCATCCGGCGATGATATCAATTCAGATGATTTGCATGTTTTGTTTTCCGTATGTATCTTTATAACGTTTTCTGTTTTCTGCAATAATATAACTACATGTAACCTTAGAAATTGAATCAAGAATTAACATCATCCACGTAAGGAAATACTAGGTGAGCCAAATAATCAATTCTTACATAATACATACTTTTTCTCTCAAATAAGTGTTTTATAAACTGAATTATTTTCTGATTCAATGTATGTTTAAAGTTTAAGCTATCGTTTCATGATTTTAATTTACACTGAAAGCCAGTTATTGTAAATAGCACGGAAAAAATATCATTCACCAGCTGTAAAGAACCGAAATTCCGTTTTTAAATGTGTAGAAACATTTATTTATATAAATCTATTTTGCAAAAGTTTCTCATCTTAAAGTACTATCTTTTTTATAAGAAAATCTGCACTGAGAATTATTATGTTTTGACAAATATTAAATACAATGTCTTAATGCATAAAAAATTGTTTTGTCTGAGTTTCTGGCTTTTCATTTTTTTATAAAGCGTCTATACTAGTACTTTTATAACTTCACAAATGATATTCTCATCAAACTGATACTATTTCTGAATCTTAATCAATCGGTATATTATTAAACTATGACTTCAAACATATTAACTCTTAACTCCTGTCTCTATTGAAAAAAAAACACAAAACATTTTCCCTGTTTTTTAAAATATAACAATTCATTTGTGGGATTTCAAAATAAAATATAAAAAAATTGAGGTACCAACAGTATAGTTCCCGATCAGACATCACGGGGCTGTAAAGGCTGGCCTATCTTTATACTATTGGCCAAAATTAACCACTACCGGAAAAAACAGTGAAGGGTTAAAGGTCATTTATCTAGGATACCTGATGGACTGAACATGCTCCAAGAGATTTTAGACACAAACAGAATTTTGAAAACTGAATAATAAGGTTTGATAATTGTCAACATGACTTTCTCGTTTCAGCCCTACTTTTGACATCTTTTATTTTGGCGACCGAAATGTATTGCAATCATTATATTAAAGATTGTTAATTTCAGCATACGACCGGAGGTAAATAATATAAAGCAATGAATATTGCAAGAGAATTGAAGAAACAACGAATACATTACTGGTTCATATCACATTCGAATGAATAATTTAATGTGTCGTTAATATCTGTTAATGATTCTTTTATTTAGATTATTGTCTGAGCATTTCTTCATATTGGTATTACCTTCATACGAGTTTTAAAGGACATATAATGTAATTAAAACAAACATCTAAAGTTTATACTCTCTCGAGTCATTCTCAATAGCTGAAAACAACATTTCAAAAGTTTTCCTTTTTCATTCATAATTGTGCAACTTTCTATTTAACTGTTTTGTAAACATTGACGAATTGCTTTTGGTTTGTCACAAATTGTATATTGTTTGATGTTCAGGTTTTTAACTTCTACATATTGCATCAGCGACTGAATTAGCATCTAGCAGGTTATGTCATTAATTTAAATTGCAGCTAATGTCCGGTGATAAGATCATCACATATTTATCAAAGGAGTTTTGACATCTGAAGATGATTTATGAAGTTTTGTCATTATACAAAATACATACTATATGAAAAACCTTTCGATGTATGATTTCCATACAAAGTTTCATTTTATTTTAACAAACCTCAACACGTCATTTGATGTCTACATCATGAGACTGAATGACTGTAATAATTATTCATTTTTGTGAAAATACCGATTCAGAAATAATTTTTTACGGCTGGGAAGGCTCCTTCATTTATCATTCACTGTATTAAATCATGATTCTTTGCTTTAATCATCTATCCGACAGACACGTGCAGTATACATTTTATCAAATCAGGACCCTGAAAAATAGTTGCCGGCTCGATTTTGTCTGTGCATGAACGGTACTGGACATTGCAAGTTACCGTCCACGCTCCCT